GTGATGCGCGCGTTGCGCACATTTGTTTCAATTCTTCTAAGCAACATAGCTTAATGACATAATGATAGTTCAACAGATATTTCCACGACGGCCAACAATCTTAGTAGTGCTATGATTTCACTCACTCTTACTTGATTTGAAGGTGTTTTTATGCTCCCTGATATTTAGCCCTAGATAAAAAGCGAGCATGATTGGTTTGCTATCAATATTTGGTGAGGGAGGCGACTCAATCATCTCCTTGCCACATTAACCATCGCCGCCCTAGGAGGAAGTGCTAGTAAGGAGAAGCTTTGAGTTGTTCAGGTGTTGACTAATGATGATTTATTGTGTTGTGCTATGTTCTTTGCCAGTTGAGGATTTATTGTGTTGTTTTTAGTGTTTATTGATTATGACATTTTTTATGTGCCATTGTGATAGTTTTAGAGGCAGTTTGATGATCCCCATTATGCTTCATGTCAAGATGAGACTTCTTAGTTGGTGAGAGAGAAGATATCCATGGAGGATGTGGTTGCTAGTTTGATTGATGTCAAGGATGTGCTAGATGTCTAGGTAGCAAGTAAAGATCACGTGATACATGAGCTGAGACGTCGGGTGGATGAAGAAACGCCAATTCAAAATGTTGTCGTGTGATGAAGCTCAAGTTCGAGTTGGACAACCCACTTATGATAGAGCTATGTAATACCTTGAAGCAGAGGTAGATGAGAAACAAAGGCAGTGAAGGAACTGGAAGTGCAATAGCTTGCAATGGTTGCCTTGTGTGATCTAGCGTAGTTGTTGCGGGTGGTTTGTAACAGATCATAATGTCATGAGACATTTGTATGAGATATGTATTGAACCTATGATGTATTTTGTGTTGGTAATGGAAATCTGAACCTTTTGACCAATGTGTTGGATAAAATGTGTGTAACTACGTTAGTGTTGTTTTAATTCATTTTTAGGATTTTTTAGACATTTACAGGATTTGGTCAAATTTTGTCCAAAGAGGGGCTGAATTGGTATTTTCCTTGTAATTTTTAAATACGTTTGGCCAAAAATATTGAATCTATTTTTTAAAAAGAATATGGACAATTTTCTCGGTCAAAATTTGGCTGAGACTGAAAAAAAATCAATGAATCATTTAATATGTTTATCCAAACCCGATAAAAAAAATCCCGATTACTAGAGATAATATTCTTGTTGTTTTAAAAAAATCAGAAAAAATCTTGAGACTTTGTTTTGGGTCAAAATGCCCGGGTCGAGCTTTACTATTGAGGTAGATCTTGGAATGCTTCTAAGAAGCTCAAGCTAGTAATGGAATACTTGTCCAAATTCACCCAGTTTTGACTCTTGCATCCTTCTTGAGACAACTGGCTTGGTCCTCATGATCTTTAATATGTGTACATCAGCAAACATCTCCTGAACTATGGCCCTCAAGTTTTGGACTGGCCAATCAATATTTGACTTGATCAAATTCTTATATTTGTTGGTTATTATCGTGCATGCCACCAACTTATTGTCTCTTCTCTTTGGGCATGTGTGCTCATCAATGAAAGAAGTCATGTGTTAGCTTTCAAACTTGCTTATTTTCCTCGCCAAACAAACTCATTTGCAGCTTGGCCAAGTGTACGTTGCCCTAACCCCGTCACCCTCATCCTCAATGAACTTTATTTCCTTCCTCTTCTTCAGACCATATTCCACTATTGCATCTTTGAACTCTTTCTCTCCAATAAACTTCATTTCCAAAATGAAAATCTTCACCTCAGCCTGACTGGAAATTTTAGGAAACCAAGACTCATGAACCACAGGTTGTCCATCGCTATCCTCACCATATGATTCATCATCTTCATCACTTGAGTCAACCACTATCTTTCTTTTCGACTAGGATTCAGTGGCTTCTCCATATATGTTGTAGTGTTTCCCTTGTCGTTCCTCTTTCTCTTCAAATCCTTGTACTTCTGCCTAATCTCCTCCACCTCATCATCAGATGTTGAGGAATCTAACAACACAGAGTCACTATCGGATGAACTATCAATATTGTTGCCCTCAACTCCATCACTTTGAATTCTCTTAACCACCTGCAGGTACTTCATCATCCCAATAACTTTGCTTTGAATTCTCTTTGCCGCATGCAGACCTCATCACCCCAACAACTTTGTTGTTTTGTCTCATTACCAATAATGTCCTCAACATAGATGTCCACTACACCTCCATATGTTACATATAAGAACATAAACTTCACAATTCTACAACCAGTGGCGGAGCCAGGATTCGAGTATAGGGGGGCCGAGTACGTATATTGATCGAATCTTGTTGAT